TCTGTCTGTCTGTTATCCCTGTCTGTCTGTCTGTCTGTTATACCTGTCTGTCTGTCTGTCTGTTATCCCTGTCTGTCTGTCTGTCTGTTATCCCTGTCTGTCTGTCTGTCTGTCTGTTATACCTGTCTGTCTGTTATCATTGTCTGTCTGTCTGTCTGTCTGTTATCCCTGTCTGTCTGTCTGTTATAGCTGTCTGTCTGTCTGTCTGTTATCCTGTCTGTCTGTCTGTTATAGCTGTCTGTCTGTTATCGGTCTGTCTTTTGGGTTGTTTCGTTATCCCTGTCTGTTGGTCGTCTGTCTGTCTGCTTAGCGTCTGTCTGTTATGTGTTGTCTGTTGTTGTATGTCTTGTCTGTCTGTTACTGTCTTATTCCCCTGCCCTTTGTCTGTCTGTTGTCTTTATCCCGGTCTGTAGTTGTCTGTTCCTTTTCTGTCTGTTATACCTGTCTGTTTTGTTATTGTTGTCTGTCTCGTTATCCTGTCTGTGCCCTGTCTGTTGTATGTCTGTCTGTGATAAGTGTCTGTCTGTTATAGTGTCTGGCTTTTATCCTGTCTGTCTCGTGTTATCCCTGTCTGTCTGTCTGTCGCTGTCTGTCTGTGTCTGTCTGTCTGCTGGTTTAGCTTTTCTGTCGTCTGTTGTTATGGGCTGTCGTCGTTATACCTGTCTGCGTTATACCTGTCTGTCTGTCTTGGGTTGTTGATTGATCGGTGTTGCTGCGCGTGCGATTTGTCTTGATGGTGTTGGCTGTTATCAGGTATAGCCAAGGCGTGATTGGCTGTGGTTGTTGATTGACAGGTATAGCCAAGGCGTGTGATTGGCTGTGGTTGTTGATTGACAGGTATAGCCAAGGCGTGTGATTGGCTGTGGTTGTTGATGAAAGGTATGCCAAGGGTGTGATTTGGCCCTGGGTGTTGTTGGAACAGGTAAGCAAGGCGTGTGATTGGCTGTGGTTTTTTGATGGACGGTTTAAGCCAAAGGGCGTGTGTTTGGCTGTGGTGTGATTGAGGGTATTGCCAAGGCTGTGATTGGCGGGGGTTTACGGGTAACCAAAAGGCGTGTGATTGGCTGTGGTTGTTGATTGACAGGTATAGCCAAGGCGTGTGATTGGCTGTGGTTTAAAAACAGGAAAGAAAGGGGAGCAAAACCCGGAGGAACCAACAAAAAAGGGGGAAGAAAAGCCCCCAAACCAAGAGGAGGCAGAGGACAAACACACAAAAAACCCACACACACAAACACACACACCAAACCACAACACAAACACAACACACCCACACACACAAGCACAACACAGGACAAAACAAAAACAGAAAAACAACACACAAAAAACACACAAACAAAACACAACACACACACCAAGAACACCCAGAACAAACACAATAAACACCCCACAACACAACAACAATACACCACACACAAAACACACACACAAAAACACCCACAAACAAACACAAAACCAAACACACTACACATACAAAACCCCCAAACAAAAACAACACCCACCACAAACACACCAAAAAACACACCCACACAACGACAAAAAAACACACAGACAACAAAAAACCACACATCCACAACAAACCACACACCAAAACACAAACCCACATCACACACACACACACAACACAGACACCCAAACAAACCCCACAACACCACAACACAACACACCATCACACAAAAACACACACACCCACAACACAACCCCACACCCTACCACCCCCCACAAGAAACAATACCCACACACAAACAGACACACGACAACACACACAACCCACACCACACACACACACCAAAACACCAACATCACAAACACACCCACACACACCCACACACACCAACACCACCACACACACCACACCCACACACGCACCCCCCACACCCACCCCACCCCACCCACAAACACACCACACACATAACACACACACCACCACCCACCCCACAAAAACACACACCACCACAGCCAACACACACACCCACACACCACACAACACACACAAACCCCACACCACCACCCCCACACACCACCACCACACCACAAACACCACACCACACACAAAACACCCACACACAAAAACACACAACACAGACCCACACACCAAACCAAAAACCCCACACACACACACACACACACCACACATACACAAAAACACACACACCACACACAGAACACACCACACACACCCCACCACAAAACACACCCACACACACCCAAACACACCACACCAGAGACACACACACCACAACACACACACACCACCCCACAGAGCACAACACACACACACCACACCCACACCCACACACACAAAAAACAAAAAACCCCCCCACACACACACACACACCCCAAGGACCCACCCCACCACCCGGGGACACCCCCAACCATAACAAAACCCCCCAATCAACCACACACCCACCCACACCACCACACACACATTCACACACACACACACACAACCCCACGACCCACACCACACCCCACATCCACAAAACACACACACACACAGATCACACACAACACACCCACACCATATACACACACACCACACAATGACCACACACACACACCACATTCACCACATACAAAACACCCCCAACAACAACACCCCCACCCACCCCCGCCCCAAACCACCCACACCAACACCACACAAAACCCACAAACCACACACACACAACACAGAACCACACACACACAACACAACACACAAACCCACCACCCCACAAACCCCCAAACACCACACAAACACCACACACCAAAACAAACCCACAAAACAACGACAAACCCCCACAAAACCACACACACACAACCCACCAAAACACCCACAATCAACACACCCCAACCACCCAAAACCACACACACACAACCCACATAAAAACCCAACACCCCACACAGACAAACACACACACAAAACCCACAAAGACACACAACCCCACACACCAAACCAAAAACACACACCCAACCACACACACACCCCACACACAGCAACACACACCACAACACACAAAACCCACACACACCCCCACACCACCCCACACCACAACAACACACACACACCACACACACACCACACAACACACACCACACACACACACCACACACACACACCACACACATACACACACACACAGACACCACACACACACACACACACACACACACACATACAGTGGGGAAAAAAAGTATTTAGTCAGCCACCAATTGTGCAAGTTCTCCCACTTAAAAAGATGAGAGTCCTGTAATTTTCATCATAGGTACACGTCAACTATGACAGACAAAATGAAGAAAAAAAATCCAGAAAATCACATTGTAGGATTTTTAATGAATTTATTTGCAAATTATGGTGGAAAATAAGTATTTGGTCAATAACAAAAGTTTCTCAACACTTTGTTATATACCCTTTGTTGGCAATGACACAGGTCAAACGTTTTCTGTAAGTCTTCACAAGGTTTTCACACACTGTTGCTGGTATTTTGGCCCATTCCTCCATGCAGATCTCCTCTAGAGCAGTGATGTTTTGGGGCTGTCGCTGGGCAACACGGACTTTCAACTCCCTCCAAAGATTTTCTATGGGGTTGAGATCTGGAGACTGGCTAGGCCACTCCAGGACCATGAAATGCTTCTTACGAAGCCACTCCTTTGTTGCCCGGGCAGTGTGTTTGGGATCATTGTCATGCTGAAAGACCCAGCCACGTTTCATCTTCAATGCCCTTGCTGATGGAAGGAGGTTTTCACTCAAAATCTCACGATACATGGCCCCATTCATTCTTTCCTTTACACGGATCAGTCGTCCTGGTCCCTTTGCAGAAAAACAGCCCCAAAGCATGATGTTTCCACCCCCATGCTTCACAGTAGGTATGGTGTTCTTTGGATGCAACTCAGCATTCTTTGTCCTCCAAACACGACGAGTTGAGTTTTTACCAAAAAGTTATATTTTGGTTTCATCTGACCATATGACATTCTCCCAATCCTCTTCTGGATCATCCAAATGTACTCTAGCAAACTTCAGACGGGCCTGGACATGTACTGGCTTAAGCAGGGGGACACGTCTGGCACTGCAGGATTTGTCCCTGGCGGCGTAGTGTGTTACTGATGGTAGGCTTTGTTACTTTGGTCCCAGCTTTCTGCAGGTCATTCACTAGGTCCCCCCGTGTGGTTCTGGGATTTTTGCTCACCGTTCTTGTGATCATTTTGACCCCACGGGGTGAGATCTTGCGTGGAGCCCCAGATCGAGGGAGATTATCAGTGGTCTTGTATGTCTTCCATTTCCTAATAATTGCTCCCACAGTTGATTTCTTCAAACCAAGCTGCTTACCTATTGCAGATTCAGTCTTCCCAGCCTGGTGCAGGTCTACAATTTTGTTTCTGGTGTCCTTTGACAGCTCTTTGGTCTTGGCCATAGTGGAGTTTGGAGTGTGACTGTTTGAGGTTGTGGACAGGTGTCTTTTATACTGATAACAAGTTCAAACAGGTGCCATTAATACAGGTAACGAGTGGAGGACAGAGGAGCCTCTTAAAGAAGAAGTTACAGGTCTGTGAGAGCCAGAAATCTTGCTTGTTTGTAGGTGACCAAATACTTATTTTCCACCATAATTTGCAAATAAATTCAGAAAAAATCCTACAATGTGATTTTCTGGATTATTCTTTCTCAATTTGTCTGTCATAGTTGACGTGTACCTATGATGAAAATTACAGGCCTCTCTCATCTTTTTAAGTGGGAGAACTTGCACAATTGATGGCTGACTAAATACTTTTTTTCCCCACTGTATATACACACACATATATACACACACACACACAGACACACACACACGCACACATACACACACATACACATACAGACACACACACACACACACACAAACACACACACACACACACACACACACACACACACACACACGCACACACATATACACACACACACAGACACACACACACACACACACATATAGACACACACACACACATACACACACACACACACACACACACGCACAGGGCTAAAAGCTATGCTGGTCAGTCTCAGTATCTCCTCAACCAATCACAGCTCTGCTCTCTGATTGCCTTGATCTCTGATTGGCTATCTGTCTGTGCCCTGTGATTGGTTGTGCAGGCTGGGCGGAGCTCCAAGAGACAGTTGTTCCTCCTTCCAGGGGGCATCGAGAGACACCTCAAAATCAAGACCTGCTCAGTGAGTACACACACACACACCCCCCCACAGCAGTCAAAGGATAGGCCTATTTTCACGTTGTAATTGTGTGTGTAGGTGTCTCTGGATGCGATAGAGGAGCTGTGTAATGAAATTGGACTGCACAGACTGGAGTCCATGGATGAGTACGCTATATTCCTGGTCACACACCGAGGTGAGCCTCACACAAACACACACATAAAGGACGTGAGCTGAAAAGCGGCTGGAGTGACGTGTCTTTCTGCCTGCAGGTCAGAATGTCCGTCCCCTCAATAAGAGGGAGTACATCCTGGACATTGCTACGGAGGCGGAGCCAGTGGACAGTAATTACAGCCTGTGGTTCAGGAGAGTCATCTGGACACAGCCGCTCAAATTTGACAACGAGCTCTGTGTCACCATGCATTATAACCAGGTATAACAACCAGCTCTGCCTTATGATGCATTATAACCAGGTATAACAACACTACAATGTATTAGAACCAGGTATAACACTATGATGCATTATAACCAGGTATAACACTATGATGCATTATAACCAGGTATAACACTATGATGCATTATAACCAGGTATAACAACCAGCTCTGCTTTATGATGCATTATAACCAGGTATAACAACACTACGATGTATTATAACCAGGTATAACACTATGATGCATTATAACCAGGTATAACAACCAGCTCTGCTTTATGATGCATTATAACCAGGTATAACAACACTACGATGCATTATAACCAGGTATAACACTATGATGCATTATAACCAGGTATAACACTATGATGCATTATAACCAGGTATAACACTATGATGCATTATAACCAGGTGTAACACTATGATGCATTATAACCAGGTATAACAACACTACGATGCATTATAACCAGGTATAACACTATGATGCATTATAACCAGGTATAACACTATGATGTGTTATAACCAGGTATAACACTATGATGCATTATAACCAGGTATAACACTATGATGCATTATAACCAGGTATAACAACACTATGATGCATTATAACCAGGTATAACACTATGATGCATTATAACCAGGTATAACACTATGATGCATTATAACCAGGTATAACACTATGATGCATTATAACCAGGTATAACAACCAGCTCTGCTTTATGATGCATTATAACCAGGTATAACAACACTACGATGTATTATAACCAGGTATAACACTATGATGCATTATAACCAGGTATAACACTATGATGCATTATAACCAGGTATAACAACCAGCTCTGCCTTATGATGCATTATAACCAGGTATAACAACACTACGATGCATTATAACCAGGTATAACACTATGATGCATTATAACCAGGTATGACACTATGATGCATTGTAACCAGGTATAACAACCAGCTCTGCCTTATGGTGCATTATAACCGGGTATAACAACACTATGATGCATTATAACCAGGTATAACAACACTATTATGCATTATAAACAGTTAAGCCAAACTAAGACTTATTAAAAGTCATAATGAAACATGTTCTCAGAACGTTATTTAATTACCTAGTCTGGTCGACTGAGATGTCAAGAAGGCAGAGCAACGCCCTATCATGGACAGACCTCTTCCCTTTTAACAACCATTGAGTCTATATGTTTTGAACATGACAGCTTGCTATCTAGGGTTACACCCAGCAGTTTAGTCTCCTCAACTTGCTCAATAGCCACATTATTCAATAATAGATCTAAATGAGGTTTAGCGTTGAGCAAGTGATATATCCCGAAAACGATGCTTTTAGTTTAAGATATTTAGCACCAGCCTATTTTAGTTACCCATTCTAAAACTGACTGGAGCTCTATGTTAAGGGTGTCAGTTATTTATTTTACTGTTGCAGTCGACGTGTATGCTGTTGATTCGTCAGCGTACAGACACACAGGCTTTATTCAAGGTCAGTGGAAGGTCATTAGTAAAAACAGAAAACAATAATGGCCCTAGCCGGCTGCCCTGCGGTACACCACACTCATCTGAATGTGCATGAGAGAGGCTTCCATTAATGAAAACCCTCTGTGTTCTATTAGATAGGTAACTCTCTATCCATAATATGGCAGAGGATGCAAATCCATAACACCAACTTTTTTTTCAGCAATAGGTTATGATCGATGACATCAAAAGCTGCACGGAAGTCTTTCAGCCAATCATCAGTAATTTGTGTCAGTGCTGAGCATGTTGAGTGCCCTTCCCTATAAGCATGCTGAAAGTCTGTAAAATAACTTTGTATTTCATGGTCCATTATGCATGAATATGAAGGCTCAGTGTTTGTTGTTTGCATGTCATGCCTCAGTTTGCTAATCTTGTCGACAAAAAAGTGGTTAAAGTGGTCGGCAATATCAAAGGGTTTTGTTATGAACAAGCCATCTGCCTCAATGAAGGATGGAGCCCAGTTTGCTTTTTTTGCAGAGGATTTCATTTAAAGACTCCAGAGCTCTTTACTGTCATTCTTTATATAATGTATCTTTGTTCCATAGTACAGTTTCTTCTTCTTTTTGTTTAGTTTTAGTTTCCTGATTTCTCAGTTTACTGTATGGTTGCCAGTCTGCTGTGTTGTCAGACGTATTTGCTATTCCCTTTAGCCTCGTCCCTCTCAGCCGTACAGTTTTTTAAATTCATCATCTATCCATTGGGGATTTGGCAGTTCTAACAGTCAGTTTCTTGATGGGGCGCACGCCTGTCAGTAACCGGAAGAAGCAGTTTCATAAATGCTTCAAGTGCAGCTTCAGAATGTTCCTCATTACACACATCAGACCAACAAATATTTTTCACATCTTCGACGTCGGAATCATTGCAAAACCTCTTGTGTGATTGTTTATACCCTATTTTAGGTCTAGATATGGATATTATATTATGATATATATATTATGGGCGGCAGGTAGCTTAGTGGTTAAGAGCGTTGTGCCAGTAACCGAAAAGTCGCTGGTTCTAATCCCCGAGCCGACTAGGTGAAAAATCTGTCGATGTGCCCTTGAGCAAGGCACTTAACCCTAATTGCTCCTGTAAGTCGCTCTGGATAAGAGCGTCTGCTAAATGACTGATTTAATTTGTGATCACTACATCCGATAGGGGTGGATACTGCGTTAGAGCAGATTCCTGCGGCATTAGTAAAGATGTGATCAATGCACGTGGATGATTTAGTTCCTGTTCTGTTTGTAAATACCCTGGTAGGTTGACTTTTTGAGTGGGCAAATTGATGACAACCAGACAATATTTAGGTCACCCAGAAAATATACCTCTCTGTTGATATCACATACATTATCAAGCATTTCACACATATGAGAATTTGTATGAGAATGGCGCCGGAGAAGATGCTGCTGTTTTAACCAAACCGATTCACAG